GAGTCAAAAACGCACCATCAAACAAGGCTACAGTGCATTGAGGTGTCATTCATTGACGACTGACAATAACACGCAACTCAACATACCACATCGTGGCACACTACTAGACAGCACTGCACTGCACAGCCGTCATCGAGCACGTACCGAGGAAACGAAATGTGAGCAGACTGGCGGCCTCGGCACTCCCGCCTCCTGTGAACCAACTACATCCAATTTCCAACCCTAAACCCTTGTTTGCTGCATGTGTCACCCTGGAGAAGCACAAGCAGCAGCTGCAGCAGCAGCAGAGGGAGGAGAAGGAGGGAGAGAGATGAGGCGAACACGTCTACAAGCCTACCCTCACCCTCACCCACACCAACTACGATAGCAACAACAACAGCGGCAGCGACCGCAAGAGCAGCAACTGCAACAATCACAAGTGGTGGCCCTAAAGAGGGCCGTTGGAGCCTTCGCACACAGCCACAACCTGCGGTGGCTGCCTTCAGTGTGGGCTTGACCAGATTAACCACCAAAGCCGTTGAGAGTACGACCTTGGCGTTTCAACGCATAGACCACATCCATAGCAGTCACGGTCTTGCGTTTCGCGTGTTCCGTGTACGTGACCGCATCGCGAATCACGTTCTCCAGAAACACCTTCAACACACCACGGGTCTCCTCGTAGATGAGACCCGAGATGCGTTTCACGCCGCCACGACGAGCCAGGCGACGAATGGCTGGTTTCGTGATCCCCTGAATATTGTCACGGAGGACCTTCCTGTGGCGCTTGGCGCCTCCCTTTCCGAGACCCTTTCCGCCTTATCCGCGGCCTCACATGCTATGCTGCTATGCTCGCGCTTCTGATTATTGGCCGCTGCACCGCCATCTCTACCTTATTTGAATCCAAATTCCATGTACGCCGTCTGCCTTCCAATCAAGGTGTACCATCACACCACTTAAACTATCCACTCCTCATCCGTATTTTTCTTCTCATTATTAGTACTACTGCCATTAATATCTTTTTTTTATTACTAATTCTATTATTACTATTTTTGTTAGAAATGCTAGCATGCCAATGCTAGCTCACAAACAACCGTAAAAGTGCGACCAGTGAAAGCACCGTATGTACCAAATGCGGCAAAGTAATTGGTTAACGCATCTCCTCATTAATTGGTGGCAAGGTGTTAGTGTCTGGTTTGTGTGGTGTGAGTCACCCATAAATACACGCTGTGTGCGTGGACATGGCATGGACTTGCGTGCGCTGAGCATGTGAGCGACAGCGCTACGAGCGGACGACCCAAATCAGGCAAGTCAATTGAAGGCTTTTTATTTAATTCTTTTTCTTATTTGCTATTATCACAATTGTTGTACTTGTTGTTAATTCCATTTTTTAAGCTCTTACTTGTGTTATTTTTACTATTGATACTATTGAAGTCCAATCATTTGAAATTAGTTTTGCTATTTTGTCTCATTTATTATTATTGTTAATGCCATTTATTACAACTATTATTTTGGCTACTTTTATTATTATTAATATTGAAATTCAGTGTGTGTGATTGCCGTTGATTTGAGAATTTGCGCTGTGTGCGAGACAGCAGAGAAATTCAGTGTGAAAAACTCGTACACGACGTCTGTGTTGCCCAATCGAATGTGAACTTGGTGTCATCTGCTACTCTTGGTCTCTATTAAGGTTTGAGGCGGCACTCAGGGTATGGCATGGAGTTGCAGGCGCTAGTCGTGCGAAGAAGACGCGTAGTTAAGAGAGAGCTGCGTAATCTACGTGCACAAGGTGCTGCGTGAGGTGCATCGCGACACTGGCATCTTGTGGAAGGCGGCGATGTCCAGCATGAACTCATTCGTGGGCCACATCTTCGAATGGATTGCCACCGAGTGGAGGAGCGGCTTGGCTCACCACCACAACAAGAAGTCAACCATGACGAGCAGAGAGATCCAGACGGGTGAACTGGCGAAGCACGCGGTGTCGGCGGAGGGCACCAGGGCTGTGAACAACTTCACTGACTCCAAGCAGTAATACAACGAAATTGTTTACTGTTGTGTTGGTCAAAACATGCAGCCATGCATCATCATCATCATCATCATCATCATCACAGCAAAACAGTGAACTCACACACGGTCCATCTGAAAGACATCGAGTGAGATTGTTGGTGTTGGTGTTGGTGTTGCATTTATTTTCTTTCTCGAGGTCTTTGATACATGTGTAGGTAGTAGTACTAGTGGTGGGGCTAGTGGTGGTTCGTGATGCTGCTGTTGTTGTTGTAAGTGGAGTTGGAGCTGTAGTGTGTTTTGATGAGTGGCGGGTGTAGGTTGGTAGAAAGGTAGGTAGGTGTGGTGGCTGAGTGGGTGGGCAGGTAGGTGTGTGGTTCGTGGTGGGTTAATGGAAGCGGTGTGAGGATGTGGGTGGGGGCTCGCGGGAAAATAACCGAAGAGACGTGAAGGTCTTTTGGCCGCAACCGCCCATGGGAGTGTGAGTAGGTAGGTATTGGGTAGGCTGCAGAAGCGTGTGGTCATTTGACATTCATGGGGATGTGATGTCCACTCAGAGATGCTGACACAAGGTGGTGGCAGATAACTTCTGGGTTTTCGGTCAGGTGGCAATTGAAGTGTCATAGAGCGCTCGATGGTGCGGTTAATCCGATTTAGTGGCGTCCAACGCCACCGCCATCAACATACAGGCCTCGAACACAATTGATTCACTTCACTCCCGCAATCACGTTTGCACATGACTGGTTGTCGACGGGGTGCAGAATGCCTTACACCCATGTGGAGAATAACTACGCTGGTGTATTCGAATATCTGTGTGTGTGTGCGCGTGTGAGGGTGAGGGTGAGATGTGCGGTGTCTCTTCGGTGATGTCTGCACAAGATTGCTTATTTGGGCATATTCCGTCTGGTCATCATCGTGGGGTTTATTTCGGTGGACACTTATGGCCGATGGAAAGGCATCCGTCAGAGCCTCCATTACCCTCATCCGCCTCACGAGACTACACCTTCTTCTTCTTCTTCCACTTCTTGTCTGTGGCCCTTAACT